TTTGTTTATGGAAAAGTGTATGTCATGATAAATTGAAAAAGTTTAGAATATGAAAGAAATTGAAAATAGAAAAAGGAATGGAAAACAAGAACACAAAGTGACTTGACAAAATGTGGCTACATTTAAGGACCAAAGACCAATATTCTATGCCAGTTCTTATCCATCCAAGCCTGATCATGTGCTCATGGTATGAGATTTTGATTGTCCCATCATACATCTAAATAACACTATGCACCATTAGGACAATTTTGGGAAGCAACTTGCTTTGGATTACTTGTTATGATTGAGTAATACTAATCAGATCGAATTTGCTAACATAATCTAACGTTACTTTTGAATTGGCGTTGCATCTCATTTAATATCAAGATCAACAATATGTTTATCGAGATTAGATTAACAAATTTAGCCAAAATAACATTGTTCTTATGATATTTTATCAGTCTCCCATCCAATTAAAAAAACAATTGTTTAAATTTCGTAGTCCAATCTTAGTTTGACTTTCTATGCATTACATGACAAATCATAATCGAGTGTTTTACCCTATCGGTAAAAGTAGAGCTATTGAGGAATGAATTTTAGAGATTAATCCTAAGGGTAGCCCAGTGAAAATAGGAACGAGTTATAAATTCAAACATCTTGAGTTTGAAACTTCATAATTCTGTCGAGACAGGTTACGAGAGATTTTTCCTTCATGAATTTTCTAATTTTGCCGTAGACGGTCTGTTTTTTATCAAATCGTAGAGAAAATTAGTTGAAGTACGTGTAAACTAACCTAAACAACTTAAACAGTAATACCACAAAAAAAAAAAAAAAAAAGATAGGGTTTGGATCTCATTACATGCTTGATAATAAAAAAAAATCCATTGATACAATAGTAAAATAGTGAAGCCTAATAATTGGCTTCAGAGTATTTAGTTAGGCAACGAATTATTTGATCATCATCAAGTGGACATGAAGCACTATAGAAAAGTGACTAATAAAGTAAGAGAAATTAAATAACTAATTGAGTTAACAGCACATGAACTGCTTGATTAACTAACTAACACTCTACTTAATAATGAATCATTAGATAATCACAAAGATTTTTATCCAAACTTAATGCTATGTCTAGACTTTAACCAGCACTGTGTTCATTAGTTTAATAATTTTTTAGTGCCTAAGAAGCAAAGACAAGCTATAAACTCTTTGGTTGACAGCTTCTCATATCAATGGTTAATGTCATTTAGCCCATATAAGTTGGATCATGTGTTAAAATACAATTATGCAGATTCAGTTCCATCCAATACTTTTTTTTTTTAAAATAAATTATTTATTATTAATGAGTGTGGGACCGATTTGAATTCATGGTAGGTGATTCATGATTAGAAAAATGTAATAAATCAAATCTAATATTGTTTTATGCTAAAAAAATAAAGTTCTCTTTCTTTTTTTTTTTTAGCCCCCATTATTGGAGGGGACTCATACTTCTGCCTAATCATTTATCTTCCCATAATTTTTTTTGTATTAGATTTTCATCCCCTTACCTCTTAAAGAACATGTTGTAACTTATCTCTATTTAAAGTAAGGTTTAATTATAAGTTGCCCGTCCAACTATGCCTCTTATTGCAATCAGCTACTTGTAGTTTTAAATACTGCAATTTTTCCCCCTTCAAGTTTCAAGCGGGACTAAATTGATTGACAATAGTGGTTAGAACATGAAAATACTATTACACTATTTATCTTGTACATTATTTCTCATTTTTTTCTTAAGATACAACTAAAAAAATGAAAAAAGCCAAGAAAAAAATATATATGTTCACACTAACACAAACACACTATACAATAACATATTCGTCTTCACCTTCGTCGCTACCTTCACCCAACACCAACACACACACACTTTTTTATGGATAATTATGTATTTTTAACAAATTAGAGATCATGTGACTTTCTCTTATCTAAATTACATTGTGTTTTATTGTCTAAAATTAATTATTTAAGTTAATTGCAAAATATTCAAACTTTAAAGGTGCTATTTGTTGAAATTAAAACTTAAAAGGGTGAATGGCAAACTACCAAAAGTTAAAAGGGGTATTTTGTAATTAATCCTTTAAATAAATTTCTATAACTATCAAGTCATCTTGAGAATTACTGAAACCCTCTCTCCCTCTTGATTAGCCAGCACTTACGCCAACTGTAGCTAATGAATTTGAATACAGGACCCAAATTGAGTGAAATTGAGCAACCGTGGATATATATATTTCTTACTCTCTCAAATTTAACGGTTATCACTATGACTTAAGCTAAATTAGAGCATACCCCTAAGTAACAGGGGCGGTTTACACTTAGAAGATATAAAAAAGGATTAAACCTGAAATTTTTAGATTATTAAAGGCTAAACTCAAGTCAGCCACTGGTGCCTGACAGTGTGTTGGCCCTCTTCCAGCCTCTACTGAATTTCGTTAAGAAGCTGACCCTTATCAAAATGAGCAATGTTAATCTGAACTTAATTTGAGTGTGTAGGACAACTAAAAATTATCAAAAACTGTTGGGGTTAAAAGACAAATTACAACCATGTGCAACAATGCAAGGAGAAATAAAATTTTTTAATCAATGAAAGAAAGGTATCACCGCAGATTCCGTGGTTCCAGGCTTGCACTCCAATCATCACCTCCTCTCTTAAACAGAGAGAGAAAGAATCGTTGAGGCAAAGTAATCGTCCTCTCTCTCTCTCTCTCTCTCTCTCTCTCTCTCTCTCATACACACGCACAGATTCTAGAGATCATAACTTATGTCATCTACTCTAACTTGAGTGTCTTTTATTCATCAAGGTGTGAGTGACTGTAATACGAATAACAAAGTTACTAATCAAAAACCTATGATTTTTGTAAGGGTCATGCCTGAACTAATGTGCGTCCTTTAGGAATATTGTCTGTATTCGAAATTTATATCATAACCACGAATTCAAATGAGTGTAGTTAAAGAATGGTTATCCTTTATTACAAAAAAAGAGTTGGCAAAGTGAGAGAAAGAGAGTGTGAAACGGACTTTATGTTACACCACCACCTCTCCTCCAACTGTTTAACTCCCCCTTATTTAGTATATCTTCAGTTACAACTTACAATGGTATGCTTTTCTTGTCTGTTCCAGCCAACCCTTCTCTCTCTCTCTCTCTCTCTCTCTCCTATCTATAGACACAAGCATTCTCTTCCCCTAAATTTGCAGAAGGGAAATGCATCTTTATAAACAATCACTTCCTTGAAGGATAGGATGACTAATGCTGTAATTCACAGGTACTATCCCTTGGGGGGTGTCTTCTGACTCTTAAAACTTTCTCTTTCATCATTCACAAATATCCACTCACTTCTCTCTCTAGCTTCCTCCATCACCCCCTCCCCCCCTACCTCTAGATCCTTGTATTGGTGGGTTGTGGAGGAAGAACATGGAAAATTTGGAGGAAGGCATAGCTCCTAAAGATCTCAAACACATAGTAAAAGGCAAGAGAACCAAGAGACAAAGGCCACAATCCCCAATTCCTTTCACAATCACTACTCATTCATCAACCGGAGACCAAGGCGGCTATGGAAGCAATGAAGAAAACATCAATAACACCAACAACAACAACACATACTCCTCTTCGACATCCTCAGCTGAACGTGCCAATAGCACCACCGAGGAAGACCAAGACACAGCCAAGTGCCTAATTCTTCTTGCTCAAGGCCATTCAAGAGAGTTGCCAAGGAATCAAAATTATGAAGAGTTTGAGTCATATAAATTTACTAGCAAAAGATATGTGGAGGCGCCCATTACAGCAAATGGCAAGGCGGGGATCTATGTATACGAGTGCAAGACTTGTAACAGGACTTTTCCTTCGTTTCAAGCGCTTGGAGGTCACAGGGCGAGTCACAAAAAGAATAAGGCCATGGCCGCGGAAGAAACGAAGCCATTGGTGTTCTCTGATGACGAAGAAGCACCATTTAAGAGCAACATATCTTCTCTTTCTCTTCAATTGAGCAATAGAGGAATATATAGCAATAACAATTCTTCTAAGGTTCATGATTGCTCGATTTGTGGGGCTGAATTCACGTCCGGACAGGCCTTGGGTGGTCACATGAGGCGCCATCGGGGATCTGCGGTTACCAACACAACCCTATCTTTGAGTCCAATTTCCTTGGATCGGTCTGAGGAAGGCAGGAAGTCAAGAAATTCATTATCTTTGGATCTCAATCTTCCAGCCCCGGAAGATGATCACCTTCGAGACAAGCTTGCCTTCACCTCAAAGCAACAATACGAAGAGCACCAGCAACAGCAAGAGCAGCAACAACAACAACAACAACAAAAGCAAAAACAACCTGTTCTCGGGTTGTCCACCACCCCAACTCTGGTGGATTGTCACTACTAGGTAAGAATGTTCAATTTTTCAAACGCCAATCTTCTTTACTAGTTTGAAAGCTAGTAGTGAATTACCAATATTCTTTGATTTGTTGTCATTTAAAAGATGATGCATTCTTTTGGATACTCTTTGACAACTTTATAATTGGACTTGAAATTCTTTGAATTCTTTGGTAATTGGTATGCAGTTTGTTCTGATAGGATTTTGATTCATGAAGAGTGCATGAAAGGGCATTTCTTTTCCTTTTATTTTTATTGGCGTTGTTATTGTCAAGTGGCAGAGAATGTGTAACCACTTGAGAGAGAGAGAGAGAGAGAGGGGGGNTGAGGTATCTGGAGTGAGATAGGACACATTGTTCACAGTATAGCGAGGAGCACCATCAATCTCAGCTGTTGATCCATGGAGAATGAATGTTTGTGAGAGTGTCACATTTGATACATTGAATGTTCCCTGTGGGTTAGGCCTGGCTGCACCAGTGGTCAAGTTCCACCTGCATACAGAAACTTATGGGCTCCGTGTTCTGAATTATACATCCATTTCTCTATTTGTGTCATTCTTGTAAAACGGCTAATCCTTCCTGAATCGTTCTAATCGTTTTCTATTTGAGTTTTGTGATTGAAAGCATCATTTACCTGATGGATTGAGCTTGATGGACCGAGAATTCGCGGTCGAATGGATCTGGCCCTATAGGTAAAGGCCCATTAGGAGGTATGGTGGAGTTGTCATAGTGCAACACACCAACAGCCACAAGAGGACTATGTTCAGTGACATTCACCAGTTTAGGACTTGCAACAATGTAATAATCAGCTGCATTTTGATCGGCTGTGACGAGAACAGAGTAGGACTGGCCGACATGCACATCGAGAGAATCCAACGGTATTTGATTGGTGTACGATCCTTCGGTTTCAACCAGAACCATCCGATGGTTTTGGATCCTAAAATTGATACTCCATGCTATGCCAACGTTGGAGATCCTGAATCGATATGTCTTCCCTGTACACATGAAACATAATCAAAGGGTAGAAATTAGCGAAGCTGCATAGTGACCCAATGGGCCCAATGTATAGATGAAACATGAAAATGACCAAGAGAAACATCCAATACATTGACAAACCTAATTGTAGGATCGTGATCGGGTAAGCAAAATATCAGTGTTGTTTCTTTACCTGGTGTGACAGTAAAGGATTCATGGGCTTTTGCAAGTGGATCCAAATATGAGCCTTTGCCATTCATAAGCATACTATCGGGCGAACTATCATAGGCCTCAGAGGTGGTATTTAACTTGGACCTAACATCCTTTTTTTCCACAACAAAACCCAAAATTAGCTAAAAATTTTGAAAAACTGATAAATTTTATCACAAATTCATCACCAAACTGACATTTTTAGGGACGAAATTACCTTGAAATTCTGCTTATACCAATCCCCTATGAGCAGGTCGAAATCGGCTTCGGGTTGAGAAAATGGTACTGGGATGACAACCCGATTATTGACACGGATGGGGCCGAAACCACCACCGGCCTTGTGGAAGTTGATGGAGGGGAAGTAGAAGAAGCTGCCAATCTGGTCCTTGGTCTGGAACACATAAGTCCAATTCTTAGCCGGTTGGATCGGGCAGTTGGTGCCGGATACTCCATCTTGCCATGAGTTAAGCCTTTGTTGTATCCCATTCCTGCACTTATGCCACCATCACAACCTTTTTCTTTTTCCTATCTAAATGAAACTACTTACATATTACAAACAGTAGAGCACTTTTTTCCTTATTTTTAAATTCAGGTTATATACGGGTTTTTTAGAATGTCTGACTAATCGTCCTGGACGCATGTAGTCTCCCTCATCCTACATGCACCGGACAATTACCATGATTAATACCGGGAGAGTGAATTCTTGGTATATAAACAAGCATCAAATTTTTGTTTAGGTGTATTGTTTTGGTTACCTAAAAAATAAAAGTATTTCGACGTATTTCGGAAACGTTTCGATCCGCTTCAGTAACATAATAAAAAATTCAAGAGTTATTTTTTCAAAACATTCATCGAAATATATCAAAATAACTTGAAATACTTTAAAACATTTCAAAATAATTATGTAAATACATTGAAATATTTCAAAATATCACGAAATATTATGGAATACCTCAACATATTAGAATTTCGATTCCATCATTGATTCGTTTGAATCTCTTTGAAAACTGAAACGTTTAGGATGTTTCTANAATATTATCGTTCGTTGTGACATTAATAAGAGGTCCAGGGAACATCCCATTGACAGTAATAACCTGTCAAACAAAAACACAAACCTTTTCATGCAAGAAATCAAAAAACAGAAACTTTCAATATATATATACTCACCTTTTCTCTCAATCAAATCCTAACAAAAACATGAAGCTCTAATTCATACCGGTTGATCCACCGACGCTGGGTTGATCGTCATGTCAACTGCTACATGCCACTCCAGAAAAATATCCTCACAGTTAACTACTGAAGAAAAGAGTGTCAGAACAGTCAGGAGAAAGATTAGTCGTGAAAAATCACCAAAGAGAGCCATGGTGGTGGTGGATTCTCTCTATGAATTGACTAAGAGGATTGAATACAGTCCAAAGGAAGAGAAAGTGGTGAAAATTTCAGAGTGAATATAGAGAGCCAAGAAGGACATTGATTTAAATAAGAGGTTTGATTAGGACAAATATAAGAAACAGTTTGTGTTTTGTTTCATGTAGCCTTGTTTTGTTACGCACTAGGGCGTGGTTGGCATATGAAGGTTGTTGCTTTTTCTATAGGTTTTATAGTACTTGAAATTTTGTAGGCTTCCTATTCCCAATTCGTTTTGGATAGTGACATATTTTGGTGGATTTTGAAATCATGTTTTATATTGAGGTCTGTCATTAAAAAAAAGGATTTAGAATTCATGTTTTTTTTTTATTATTATTATATGGCAGATCATTTATCATGGATTTAAATAGGACACGTTATAGTTAGAAGTGTCAAAATATAAATCTTCCTTAAGCTACTTGTTTTATAAACGAACAGACCTAACACGACGTGATTAATAAACGAATCGAATAAGGGTGAAGTTAATCAAAATAAATATACGACACGATTCGTTTATATATCAATATTTACAAGATTTATATACGACATGAACTCAATATAACATGACTTGTTATACGCAAATTTATAGACGAATCGAGTATGGGTGGTGTATTTTTTAATACGAACCCGCTAAGACTCGACACGATTGACGGATTTAATTATAATATATAAAACTGATCCGAATATATGAGAACAAAAATCGAGAAAAGTATTCTGAAAGAATAGGAATCCATCTTTTTATATTAAATCTAAATTTCATATATCTTAATTTGATGGGTGCAACTAGGGAACCAAAAATAGTCAGTATCATACCTCTTATTTTTATATTTTATTTTATTTTATTTTTTTATTTTCGTAATTAATGATTGAAAATAAATTAAAAATATAGGTCGACAAGGAATTTCAGTATCGTATCACTTAGTTCCATCCTAACCTAAAACATCTGGGAAATTATGAAGAGTGCAAATCATCATGTTCTGAACCTCAAAATATTCCCCAATATACCGATAAAATTGGTCAAAAATAGAATTTCAAAATTTAGGGTAACTCGTATTGACATTCATTGAATTATGTTTTACTGAAAATTGGTCAAATGATAAAAGGTTAAGGTTCAAGGCTTGTTCATAGAATCTTTTGCTAAGTGAATGGCTTATTTCCCTCTTTTTTTTTTTTTTATCGTACTGAGAAGTGGTGTTCCCCCTAGTCTACGGGTAAAAACCCAATATTTTGCTAAAAATTTTTCTCTTAACTTATCTTACCTAATCAAGTGTATTATTCTCACCCGAATTCCGTCTAAAACAATCGAACAGGAAATCGGGTGAATACATATTTTTTTGTTATTAATTGTTGAATTATTTTAACAAATTAATTAATTAACCTGCTTCAATTAACTAACACAATAAATCAAAAAAAAAATACAATAAATTCGATACCAAAAAATCGTTCATTGACCTACCTAATTCTTTCGGATAATCGATAAATAGAGTCGAGTAGGGTAGGATAGAATCGAAATTTGTTAGTAATCGAAAATTTGAACATTCTAGTATTGGGAGATCATATTTTTATGACATGATTACTCTATTGTGACATATACACATTATAACTTATAAGTATCTATCCTCCCCAAATTATAGAGCAGGAGGAACTTCTTATAATGGTTACTCTTTTGACATACCCTTCATTTGATGGGTTTAATATAATCATGGAAATGCTATAAAATCTATAGTACTATGATATATATCTTGAATGAGTTAAAACTAAATGAATTTATAATTTGGAGTAAGAGCTATGCTTTGTTTCAATGTTGTGCCGTGCAATCCCATCCGCTATATATAAAATCTTCTTCAAAGAATGACTCTTGGGTTGTTTTTGTTTCAGCATTTGCGAGTGAAAGCAACGAATTTGCATTCTTAAGTCGTATGTTTATTGTATAGCTTTTAGGTTAAATTACAATTTTACCCTATCAACTATGGGCTTGATCTCATATTGTCCCCCTCAACTATTTTAATTTATTTCAAACAACCCCCAAACCATATGTCGGGTTATATTTTGAACGGAATGTCTCAATATGTGGTAAACTAAAAATTTATATAAATTTGGGGTCATGTGAAACCACTAATTATAATTGGAGGTGCAATATGATGTAACGATTTAATATGAAATCACTAACCATAGTTGCAGGTACAAAGTGAAAAAATATTATAATTACGGCATAATTTGAGACATGAGACATAGTTAAAGGGGTCAAAGCATAATTCACCCCTTTTGCCATGTGGCCATAACAGTGTGAGATTTTCACCTTCAGATTGGACATTGATCAGTCCGTGTTTGTTTATACTTTCTCTCAGCTCTGAAAGCTTCTCTTTTGGATTGTTCACAGAACAGAACTGCTAATAACATAATACATGGAAATGCTACACATTGACAGAAACTAGTTAATCCATGATTTATGCTTCATCTTTCGTTTGTTATTCGTTTATTTTGAGACTCAAGCTTGAGGGCATAGTTATCCCATTGTTGTATTGAAAATTTTTTGCATATTTAATCCCAACAGGTAATTCAAGAAAAAATAAAAATGAGTAGTAAATTCAAATCTTAGTAACCCCTTAGTACTATGTTATGAGAAATTTATCCCTTATAAATACTTTACTAGTGACGTGGATGATCTGTCTTTGACCGAACTATAAAAGAAATTAGCCGATGAATTGAAAAATAAAAATAAAAATCACATATTCTCTCTTTTATGCAAGTACAAAACATAATAACAATACAGTTATAGCTAGAGGTAAGGGATGAATCCTCCAGCAAAGAAATATTTCACCTTGAACTTTTACCCAAAACTATGCCTTTTTTCAAACTTATACCCAAAAGAGAGTAGTTTTGAAAACATTTCTCAAACCTATATAATTTTAAAAACGTTATTTGAACTGACGTTTTCATGTAATAACGTCATTCCAACCAACATCTTAATAAATTTTTTTAATTTAAAAAAGTCACTTAAAAACGTTGGTCTGACCAACGTTTTATGTGTTTGTTTTATGACCCCAACCTTCTTTCTGCACTTTCCCTTCTTCCTTCTTTCTCTAATTTTCCCCCAAAATTGCGAGCCCTAAATCGAAATCACAAAAGCCCCCACCATCCGAAATCACAACCACCCACATCCCTTACCACCACCACGACTACCCCCATCCCGAACCATCACAAAGCACACCACCACTTTGACCATCACTGTCCCACATCCCCCCGCACCACCACCATTCAAAACAACCAAACCTAGCACAACCACCATCCAAAACCACCAGACCTGGCACCACCACCATTTTCAGAGTAATTGTTTGTGGCCACTAGAGTTGCTGGGTTGAATTCCACTAGAGCCCCTAATTCGTTGAAGACCAATGGAGTCCCAATTTGTATGTGATTGACTATCTCCCTCTCTGTCACTCTCATTCTCATTCTCTCTCTCTCTCTCTGTGTCTCTCTCTCTCTGTCACAGTATGCTCTCACTGTTAGTATTATTTTGTGTCAACCTATTTTTGTCGTTTGATTCATCTTTTGTTCATTGTTATTTTGTGGTTTAATTCATGTTTTGTGCACCGTCAATTTGTGGTTTAATTCATCGATATGCACCGTCAATTTGTGGTTTGATTTATCAATATGCTAGTGTTTGTGGTGTGATTCATCGATATGCACCGGTGTTTGTGGGTTTATTCATTAATTTGGGTTTTGATTAATCGATATGCTAAGTTGTACTGTTAACATAGGTAATTTGCAATATTAATTTGTGGTTTAACAAAGTAGGACCTTAGTTTGTTCACTTATACATTTGTCGTGTTGATGATATTTACTTGAGAAATCATTTTTGCCAATTTTGTATTGATTCTATCTTCCTCCTTGTAATGTAATTTAAATTAACACGAAACCTTTTGTGTGTTTTTCAACTTCTGTTAAGTACTCATTTATTCATTCTTCATTTATTCTTTTATAATTTAACTTCTATATGAGGTTGAATTTTTAATTTAAAAAAAATATAATAATAATTAAGATTAACTTTAAATTTAAATTGTGTAACTTAAATTTCCACTAATTGTTTGAGATTTGGTATAAGTTTAAAGTTCCGTAAAATTCCAAGCAACACTATTTTGCAACACCATCTCTTTCTCTCTCTCAGTATAAGCATTGTAGTTATGTCTCTCCGTCATCAAGCAAACATAATTTTCCTCAAAATAAACATCAACAGTTCTGAAGTTTTTAATAGTGTTCTCCAAGGTGCCAAGTTTTTGCCCATAATTACTTGTGTGCAATCGATATTCTATCAGGTCACTAAGTATCATTTTGAACATCGAGTTAAGGTAGCAAAATAGAAAGAAAATGGTTTGGAGTTCTATAAGGATGTTGTGGAGTCAACTTCACCGTGACATTGGAGCTTGTCCACTTCACCATGTGTCTCTGTTGCTAATTATTACAGTCCACCACCCGTTGTTGACCATGCCACTACACCTCCTATTGACCCTCTTCCACAGACATATTGTGACATCATTTGTTCCACCACTAACCTCACCACATGTGGATACATCACCGTCACCACGCACACCTTCATAGGACCCGGTGGTTACAAGAGATATGTCATATGTCCTGGACTAGACAGGTACATCATTTCACAATGTACATTGTATTCCACAGACTGTCCTAGTGCTGCCCCCATCAGCCTACCTCTCTTGTTCCATATGAGAACNCCAATGTACATTGTATTCCACAGACTGTCCTACTACTGCCCCCATCAGCCTACCTCTCTTATTCCATATGAGAACTCTTTCGAGCGAGGCACAGATGGGCATGGAATCAGTTGTCGTACCCACTATGCACATGATCCTGTAGATGGTGGAGTGACTCAAGAGATTCTAGAACCTATTGATGGACAACAGCCCAAGCAACAGAGGAAACCACCACGTTGTGGGACGTAGTCTATTTTTTTTTTTTATCTTTGTTGTAAATATTTTTTAAGTATTGTTTTATATAAAAACTCTTTGGGTTCATATTTTGTTACACAATACTTACATTACTGCATTGTAAATTAGTTATCAAATATTGTATGCAATATTTTTCAACTAACTTTAACACAATTTATCGAATACGAATGGACAACAATAACTGGAGTAATATACCATATTTCATAGAAACATAAAAAAACAACTTACTGGAAACACAAATACGACAATATTGTCTAAATGTTACAACACAATAGTTGCATAACACTTATTCATTCATGGGTCTTCATCTTCGTCAGATATCTCCACATTAGAAATACATTCAGCTTCCCCACTGAACTGGAAGCTTAAAATTGCTTCTACACTTATTCATGAGTCTTCATCTTCGTCAAACATCTCCACATTAGAAATACATTCAGCTTCCCCACTCAACTGGAAGCTTTTTTTTTCTTCTTGTATCATCCCTTCTGCAGTACGGCCTCTTGCGATACGACGAAGGCTGTACCGATTGCAATAAATTACCATTCGATTGTTGTCAACTTGAATACGGAATAATGCTCGCTCTAATTCTTGAGGAGTGGTAATAGGCATACCAATGACAACTTGTCGAGGCCTTCGTATGTTGCAAGAACGTAAATCTACGCTTAGATTTTCCCTTTCCGTCAAATGATATTGTCATTCCGCCATCATTGTGTTTCTAGCCATTTGTGAATAGCGTAAGTGAGGATTCATTAGATAAAAGAATTCATCCTCTAATGTCCAATGAAAACCTAGAGATTCAAACGCCGTTCGCAGACTANAACCATCATTGTGTTTCTAGCCATTTGTGAATATCGTAAGTGAGGATTCATTAGATAAAAAAATTCATCCTCTAATGTCCAATGAAAACCTAGAGATTCAAACGCCGTTCGCAGACTATAATTCATGGTTAGAGATAAAGTGTGTACATTGAACATTGCACAGGCATTGAACCTTATGTGCAATATGGATGTGAGTACGTCAGCCNTATAATTCATGGTTAGAGATAAAGTGTGTACATTGAACATTGCACAGGCATTGAACCTTATGTGCAATATGGATGTGAGTACGTCAGCCTGCAGTCTCAATGAATGACATTGAAACAGTGTTTAGTCACAATGAATGGCATAGATGCAATTGTCATGTTAAATCTGTTTCTTATTTAGCAACGCACAAGAATGAGGTGCCACAACCCTATTTCAAATAAAGTCAAACCAATGAATTGACAACATTGTGTTACACCTCAATGTAGCGGTGTGTAGTTACAATCAAACTCTATCATAACTGAACACAATAACAAAAACCCTAATACTTATGAAATGTGTACAAAACCTTGATTTCACAAATGTTGAATAAATATGCAGTAGGGATGTGAGGTGGCGTGTGTAACCACAATGAATGACTGGTATCAGTGTGCAATCACAATGACAAAACACTGATGCATTTGTTCTTTTATTAGTGTGAATCAGGGTGTAGTAACTTCAATGAATGACAACAATCAATGTGCAGTCACAATGAAAAAACACTGATGCATTTATCCTTTTATTAGTGTGAATCAGGTTGTAGTAGCCTCAATGAATGACAGCAATTAGTGTGTAGTCACAATGACAATACACTAATGTATTTGTCATGTTATCAGTGTGAATCATGGTTGAGTAACTTCAACGAATGAGAGGTATTAGTGTGTAGTCACACTGAATGAACTCTTATTTCAATGGATGACCTACACACTGCTGCATTGAAGTTTCTCAAACCTGATTCAAATAGAGTGATGTTGAATAAACAACACTGTAACGTGTGACAGTCTACCAGTGTCAAGCCACAATAAAAATCTATCATAGTTGAACACAATGACCAAAACCTTAATATGTAACGATCATCTATTAAAACCACTTTAAAAACACAATAAGGGATGGTTGATATCGCATGTATTGAACATTATGTCTACATCAAGACCATCTACAATCAATAACAGCTGCAGACATCAACGAGTTTGGTTGTTACTAGAGCGAAATAATGATTACAAGAGTGAGTTTTTCTTATCCAAAAGAATATTATGTCGAACTCCGATGAGAGTAGACTTTTCGTGCTAATGAATCACACTCATTATGCACAGTTCTAAGAGAACTTGGCATACCGGTGCTACATAGACTTCCACTTAGCATGCAACAAAGGAGTATAGTGGACTACGAAGCAGAAGTTAAACGTGTATGAAAAGAGAATAATAAGATGATGGTGTGCAAATGTTGATATTATATGCTCCAATTAGCAACTAACAAGGTGACCATTGCATATGGAACAAAGTTGACAACTATTTAGCGATCTATTGTATTGTCTAATGTACAATACCTATCATATGAGTATATGTCTGATGAAAATTAACAAATGTAATCAGTATCCAACTGATTGTGCATATGACTTTTATTTGTATGTCCTAATTAGTGTGAATCATTCTCATAGTTTTATCAGTCTATTCAGTGTTTTTTCATATCACAACTTTTTTATTGTCACGTCTTGTCATTATCAAATCAGTTCATTATTTAATCAATATCAATTCATGTCCCCATTTTGCAATGTGATATCATTTCACTGTTATTTTAAATTGTCAAACTGAGCCTATATATACTATCATTCTCAATTGTGTAAATGATACTAAACAAATTGTATATGTGCACATTAAATACACAATACAGCCAAACCAATGAAGATTTTTCTTCACGCAATAAACAAAATAGTTCATCTTCAGCCAACAAACGTGAACGCTCAACTGACCGATCAACATCATTGAACAGAGTTCCTTCTGTTGGATTCTATACAGATTTCTGTGGTGTAACGTGGTATGGATGAAAGCATGAGTTTCGCAACGAGCTCATTGACCCTTATCACCCATTTAGTCAAGTTGGACATGTAATTGTTTGGTCTGCGACTAGCAATCCACCTTCGAGTACTCATATCGAACTCATACTAAGATGGCGACAGTTGTATGACAAATGTTGTAGTCTTGAAGTATTTTGTCGTTGGCATGGACTTACAATACCGAAGACACGTTCAACTGATATTTACAATCCAATAAATTCAAACATTCATGACAAGATCATAGGAAAGCTTGAACATGAAAATGATCAAATGCAGCATCAATTTGATCATTTTCATGTAATCGAGTATGCAAAAATTGAGTATTTTGATCCTAAATATGTTAAAATTGAAATTTTAGAAAATCTGTTACTTATTTCCAACCCTGAACTTTTTAATTTCTCTGATTTAGACGATAATGCGTTAGACACTTTTTTTTCATCAAGTTTTTGGGTATTCGGTAATCCTCTATATTTTTTTGAACATCAACCATATTATTGACACTATTTTATCCCATCAATTGCAAGGGAAAGTGTCATGAAATAAATGCTCAATTTTTTTGATATGAATAAATTAGATTTTTACATACAATTCACTTTATTTTAATAGACATTATTGTCTCATCAATCACAAAATGTTATGTTTAAATGTTAAATTAAAAATAATTAAATATAAACGTTTGAAAGTTATTTTGTAATAATTAAATTCAATTTGTGTTTCCTACTTTGTTAATTTTGAAAAATTAACTTGATCGGATAAAAAGGCAAAATATTTTAAATACAAAAAACGTCAACTATATTGACATTTTAAATATGTATACGTCAATTCTACTAACGTTCTATTGCGACACAAAACGAATTTGATAATAACGTTTTATCAGTAAAAATGTCAATTCAAATGACCTTTTTAAAATTATATGGGTTTGAGAAATACTTTCAAAAGTACTCTTTTTGGGTATAAGTTTGATAAAAAAAACATGATTTTGGATAAAACCTCATTTCAACTAAATCAAAATCGATTGTAAACAGAGAAAAATCAAATACATGACTAGGCAAGTATTAGCATTAAAATGAATTATTATGGATCAGCATCTCCTATCACCATGAGGCCTGGGGAGCTGGAGCTGGGACCAGGGACGGAGCTAGAGTTGAGCCGGCGGAGACAGGACCAGGGCCGGAACAGGGGGAGCCGAGGCTGGTGCCGGAGCTGGGGCTGAGGGAGTCAAAGTTGGATCCGACGGAGACGGGGCCACGACCAGAACAGGGGGAAACGAAGCTAGGGCCGGGGCCGGAGCTGGGGCCGGGGAAGTCAAAGCTGGAGCTGGCGGAGACGGGTCCAGAGCCGGAAAGGGGGAAGGCGAAGCCGGGGCCGGTGCAAAAGAATCATTGAAAATTCCTGGAGAGAAAGAGAAAGGAGAATTTCTAACCAGTGAACATACATTTGTTTGAGTTTGTCACTATACCAAAATATTATTTCCAAAAGCTACGTAGTTTTAATCTATATTCTCAATACAAAGTATTTTTATGAAACATTATTCTGAAGAGAGAATCGTATCATTTGTACTGGCATTTATCAACATATAAACATCATTTAAAATGATATTATTTAAAATTTATTACTCAAGTTTGAGAAATAAGTTTGAAACTACGTTTAATTGAGAAAGGTTTTTTTTTTGGATCATTTAAAATGATATTATGCAAAAATTATTATTGAGAAATAAGTTTGAAACCACGTTTAATTGAGAAAGGTTTTTTTTTTTTTTTTTGGCTATGCAGAGGGTGAAAAACTATACAATAGTGTTTGATATTGTGAGGACAAAAAACTGAAAGACAGATGGAACTAACCACATAAAAGAAGGTTTTCCGGTGGCGGCCGCTCCTTGGCAGGGTTGGGATCATCGTCGTGTACCCTGATGTAGAGTTCTTGACCAAGGAACCAATGCTTCAAGTGCTGTGATCTCAAATTCCACATTCCTGGATTGTCAAGGAATGCATATACTGCTGTCCACATTCCGGGGTACACCTGAACCGTGGACCGAACAACGGGATCGTAGAGGTTGTAGGAAGTGCGAGATTCCGGTGTCCATTCTCCTTCTCCAAACCTGCAGATTCACATTCACAACTCTCTCAGAAGAATAATCGATCAAAAAAAAACAAAACAAAGAAAGTTAATGTTTTAAAAAATTACACTTAAACCCCTTAAACTCTACCTCCTCATTCCACAACGGCCCATAGATTATTTGCTTTATCATAGTGTACCTTAAATTATTGATTTGAGTTTCACGCTGCCCAAATAGTCATAACAAAAAAATAATTTTGCCCAATTAAGGTGGGAAACATCATACATCGTAACATTGTGGAATTTCATTTTTTCACTGATTTCCCACGAAAAATTAGACAATAATTAACAATCAAGACAATGTGAAGTCAGGGCTGGCTCAATTACATTTGGGGCCTTAAGCGAAAACTTTAAGCGAAGGCCTTTACAAATTTATTATAAATATCACTAATGCTATTTTATGGCTATGCCATTTTTTCAATGAAGAACAAGGATTTATGCTACTTTATAGCTGTGCTATTTTTCAATGCATTATGAACGTAAAAACATATGAATGAGAGAGATTGGGAGAGTGAGAAAGAGATATGTAGGCAGGATTTATTTATGTAAATATATTTGTATATGCCCTAATTATAGAGAATGATTTGATTGATAACAAATGAAGAGATAACGTGTGATCTTTTATGTGAGTGATATCAAATGTGACCATTTGAGTTGGTGGGAGTGTAAAATTTATTAAAAAAGATGAGAGATAATCAAATTTACATCTTTCGGGCGGGCTCTTATTCCATTATATTGTTGACCCAGATTAACCCATTTTATAAAAATCAAAAATATAATTTGGGGAACCCAAGTTAGCATTTCACTTGCTTATAGTGTCGGCCATAGCTATGTGAAAAGCTCAAACCAATAGTTTACTGTGCGAAGTGAGAGAAAAAACAGTTTAGGGGGGTAATGTGGAATGAGTGGCATAGTTCATGGGACGTAGTGTGATTTATATAGAAAACAATAGCGTTAATCTGAGCAACATTATATTGTGCAAAGACAAGTAGCTGAGAAATTGAATAACATTTAAGAATCAACATATAGTAATGGCAGTGAAAAACAGCTATGGTATTGGTAGGTATAACAAGCTTACCCAACAACGTAGAATCCGTAACCATCCAAATGCCAAGAATCCATGAGTTTCAAATCATTCTTGAACACAATTTCCAGCCACCCTTTGTGGACTCCAGTCACAACAAAAACTCCAGTTGATGCAGCGTCATTGATAGAGTGGACAGGGTATGTATCAAGTTGGTATACACCCGACCCGTTTACAAATTGATCGGCAAGTTTCAATGGGGTATCGGGGGTGAGATACGAGACATTGTTGACTACGTAGTATGGGAAACCATTAATTTTAGCTTCCGATCCATGGAGGATAAATGTCTGCGAAAGGGTAACGTTTGTCACATTGAAGCTTCCTTGTCGATTAGGCCTTGCAGCTCCTGCAGTCAGGTTCCACCTATACAAGGAGAAATCGCATGTATGAGACTAAAAACGACAGTCCAGTGTACGAGGAAAAATCCATAGCGAAACTAGCTTTGGATGCGAGTTTCTATGGAGGATGTCAACTACTAGAATCCGCATTAACAACTTAAGGACATTTTAACTGTGGATAGTTGTTGTTTTTCCAATGACATGCACGTAAAAGCCACGTCGAAGCAGGCTACCTACGACGAGCTATGAAGATGACAGTTTTTTTTTATCCAAATCACATTGATATTGGACTCTCGACCGCGTAAAATGATACCCCATTCAATTTATATTTTCACCCTTACTAGCTTCGATATAGAAACTGAGGTAAAATGTGAATCTGACAAGTTGGTTTATGTGGCAGTGAACATCATCATCGAAAATAAATAGATAGAACTGTTTAGCTGAAAATTTGGCAGATCAGAGCTGATTTACCTGATAGATTTAGCTTGAGTTATCGAAAAATCAACATCAAATGGATCGGGTCCTGTTGGCAAAGGTCCCGCAACTGTTGAAGTAGAATTGACATAGTGCAGGACCCCTTTGGCCACACGGGAGCTGGTATTCGAAGTGAGGAACAATTTTGGAGAAGCCACTATGTAATAATCGGCTTCACTTTGATTTGCAGTGACAAGAACAGAGTAGGACTGGCCAACATGCACATCAAGAGAGTCCAGTGTGATCTGGTTGGTGTATGATCCTTCTGTTTCAACCAACACCATCTGGTGGTTCTGAATCCTGAAGTTGAAACTGAATGCAGTCCCCACGTTTGATATTCGGAATCGATACGTTTTTCCTGTAACCAAGTACGGTCTTGTTACAACCTATTTAGATCAAATTACAACTCAATGGGGGGATAAGTTTCAACCAACTTTGTATTGTTGTAACCCCGGATTTACTCATAATTTCACCTTTATTTTGTAGTAACTTCGACACAGTACTTACAAACTTTGTACAGAGGTGTTCAATATTGTGAAAGATAGTGGGAGTAAATTTTAATAACTTCAATGAAGATACAGAAAGTTGCCTTTCTTTCCTTACCTAGTGTGACAGTGAAGGACTCAAAGGCTTTTGAAGTTGGGTCCCCATAAGGGCCTTTGCCATTCATCAACATCACATCAGGGACATCACCAAAATTCTCGTAATTGTACTTCACCAATGACCTAACTATCTGTTGCAATCAACACCAAAGCATTGGCCATAGTAATTGATAACCAAAGTGTGGCTTGTACAATATTAAAATAATGTGTTAATTGAATTGAATCTCTCAAGGTTGAGTACACTCAAGCTCCAACTTAGATTTGAGTAATTAATTTGAACTTTGAACCTCGATCAAAGCGAACTTTGATTTTTAATACGCTCACTCTTCGAAAGCTAGTGACTATTCCAATTGAACTTGAACCGAAACGAATCTCAATTTCTTAGCAAAATTTTTATAAAATTGAACCACAAATTTAATAATCAATCCTTAAATAACAGATTGCTAAGCAAACATCTCTTGGAGTATATATAATTGACTACAAAAGCAAATCTTAGAATTCAAAATTTCCAGACATCTATTAGAGAAAAGAGGGAGAGAAAAACTTTATATGTTCTATAGTTATTTGGCTTTTCCCCAATGTTCTATTGCTATTTGAAGATAAGCTTGAATTTTGTTTCATCTTTTGAATATGGGTTGTTTAATAATAAAATTAGAAATACTTACAAATATAAAAATTGTTCAATTCGAACTGGGTTTACTTGATTTGAGCCACACATCATTCAAATATGACTCATTTACAAAACAAGATTAGAAAATTTTAGACAAATCGAATACAAGTCTAATTTAAGCTGCTCGAATTGCTTACTAGCCTTGTATTGGAATATGTCGGATTCTTTTACCTTGTAGTCACTGCGAAACCAATCACCAATGACAAATGCATTCAAATTCAATTCATTTTATAATATGACCGAGCCAAGTTAACAGCCTGAAGAATTTATTAGTTCTTTTACCCAATAGTCGGATTGAAACCAATCACCAATGAGAAGATCAAACTCAGCTTCTGGTTTGGCAAAAGGGATGCTGATGACATCTCGGTTGTTGATCCGGATGGGTCCGAATCCTCCAGCAACCTTTAGAAAGTCGGTGGAGGGGAAGTAAGTGAAAGTGCCAATCTGGTCTTTGGTCTGGAACACATAAGTCCAGTTAGTACCAGGTTTAATGGGGCAGTTTGTGCCAGACACTCCATCTTGCCATGAGTTTAGCCTCTGCTGTATGCCATTCCTGCACAAGTATTGAAGGTATCGACTCGATTGGTGCTAGTTTCGAGTCAATCGGGATTAAGCTAAGATTCAAAAAGGTGAGTTGTGACTCAATCAAGATTATTTACGACACAAAATAAAGTTGGGATTTTCCCAAAATGTTTGGCTGGATCCCAAAAACTCACCCATCTAGGGAAAGTTATAACTAAAAAAAAATTGGGATCATCCTAAAATGTTCAGATTAGGAACAGTCCCCATCTTTTTGGGATCGGTTACAAGAGACCCCATTGATTAAGTTTTAGCTTTTTCTACTACTAATGATTATGGTATAAGGTAAAGAAACTAGGGAACTATAAAAAAGCAGCCCAAAGGTTATATATACCATGTAAAGAGTATTGGCTCGTTCAACTTGTTAAAGACATTGACATGGACAAAATCATTGGTTGTGGAATTGATGAGGGGTCCTGGAAACATTCCATTAATGGTGATAACCTGTAACACACACAAACAGTGAGTAGAAGAACACCCCCAAATGCACATCTATGAAAACTGAGAACTGTAATTACATACAGGTTGAGGAGACGACACGGGTCTAATTGTAGTGTCAGTGGAAACAACCCATTCATGGTAGATGTCAATGGCAATGACTCGGGCAACAAGAACAACAAACAATGTTGTGCAAATGATTAGCCACTCGAAAGGGCGAAAAGAGGCCATTACTAGGTGGGAAGGTCCTACGAGGGTCCTTTCTGCTTTGCCTCTTGTCTCAGACCAGAGGGTGTTAATTTATATAGCTCTTATGTAAGTTGAAAGGTAGGCCGCCCTGGAAAGATAGGTGGAGATTCCTAAGGAAATGGCTGACAAAGCCCACTTAGAAGAGGAAATAACAATGGAGTGTGCGTTTGTGTGTGGTATGCCGGCAGATTTTCTGAAAAAACAATGATGTGTATAGCCTTGTTTTGCCAACCTGAAGACTTAAGTTTGTTGTCTGTATGAAACAGTCCTTAGCAAAACGATTGAGAGATGGATCTGTTCCTTGTCATGTGACACCAATGTGGCATATGTCTTTTGTTCTTTCAATTGATAGTTCTTTTGAAATATAGGGAAGTCCCAATGATACAAGAGGATGCGAAGATACATTGTAAGTTTGAGTCTAAAAATCAATATTAAAATCAAAATTCAAACGAGAAACCCTAACATGCGATATTAATTATATTAATATGCTGGCCAACAGAAAACTGATGACAGATATTGGTATATCATGTTGTATATCATATTGGTGACAGATATTGGTATATCATATTGATATTGCTATATCATGTTAAGAGATTTCTTATATGCCATGAGAGGTATTTATATACTTCCAGTCTTACTATTATTATAAATAAATGGGGATAAGTGAGATGACCCTAATCTGATTCTTCGGGCTTTCTCTCTAACTGCCACCAACATTCTCACAAACTCTCTCTTCCTCTTGACTTCTTCTTTCTCTTTTCATATCTTAAANCATACAGGTTGAGGAGACGACACGGGTCTAATTGTAGTGTCAGTGGAAACAACCCATTCATGGTAGATGTCAATGGCAATGACTCGGGCAACAAGAACAACAAACAATGTTGTGCAAATGATTAGCCACTCGAAAGGGCGAAAAGAGGCCATTACTAGGTGGGAAGGTCCTACGAGGGTCCTTTCTGCTTTGCCTCTTGTCTCAGACCAGAGGGTGTTAATTTATATAGCTCTTATGTAAGTTGAAAGGTAGGCCGCCCTGGAAAGATAGGTGGAGATTCCTAAGGAAATGGCTGACAAAGCCCACTGAGAAGAGGAAATAACAATGGAGTGTGCGTTTGTGTGTGGTATGCCGGCAGATTTTCTGAAAAAACAATGATGTGTATAGCCTTGTTTTGCCAACCTGAAGACTTAAGTTTGTTGTCTGTATGAAACAGTCCTTAGCAAAACGTTGAGAGATGGATCTGTTCCTTGTCATGTGACACCAATGTGGCATATGTCTTTTGTTCTTTCAATTGATAGTTCTTTTGAAATATAGGGAAGTCCCAATGATACAAGAGGATGCGAAGATACATTGTAAGTTTGAGTCTAAAAATCAATATTAAAATCAAAATTCAAACGAGAAACCCTAACATGCGATATTAATTATATTAATATGCTGGCCAACAGAAAACTGATGACAGATATTGGTATATCATGTTGTATATCATATTGGTGACAGATATTGGTATATCATATTGATATTGCTATATCATGTTAAGAGATTTCTTATATGCCATGAGAGGTATTTATATACTTCCAGTCTTACTATTATTATAAATAAATGGGGATAAGTGAGATGACCCTAATCTGATTCTTCGGGCTTTCTCTCTAACTGCCACCAACATTCTCACAAACTCTCTCTTCCTCTTGACTTCTTCTTTCTCTTTTCATATCTTAAAACAATTTTCAATTGAGGAGATAGAGGTTAAACCAGGAGCAATTGCTAGTGTTTTCCTCTCCAAATGCTAGTTGTACATGACAGCCTTGTGAAGTGCGTACAACCACCACCCGAGCTGATGGTCTAGTGGTAAACCGTACCCGTTTAGAGCTATCCTTGACTCTCATGTGGTTATCAAGCAAAATTCAATTCAGTGGAACAACGTCATTTGCTGCTTGACTTTGATAGTGCTATGGTGACGGGCTGCCCTTCCAAGTTAGTAGTTATAGTTCAAACTGAACATTCCATAGTGGAAAGACCCTCATGGTCACTCCCAGAAGACGGTTACTACCTATTGGTCGCCCATCTCCCTTAAAAAGAAGACAGTTCAAAAAAAAAAAAGTGTGTACAACCTTGTTTTTTAACTATTCCAGTGACACACAAGAAACCTCAATAATAATATCATAAACTTTTGGTGATAAATTGTAAGTTACAATTTATAGATGATAAGATGCACAAAAGAATCTTAACACTCAAAATCTCAAACTTTGTATCCCAAATAAGGATGTCAATTTAAAAAAAAAAAGCAGCAACCTTTGTCTCACACATCATACTGGCTTCCTTTTCACATCCCAACAGCCCTCTCAAGTATGTGGGGAATCTTCATATTCTCCATCATCTTCAGAGCATGCCTCTTTTTCTCTCTTGCATTGGAATAGATATCAAATCTCTTGAAATTTTGCAAATTACCCGGGTAGCATTTCTTGTTCTAAAGATCGCGAGGCAGCAGCTCGAATCTTTCCTGGCCCGTTAGGTAACTCGATGCAACGTGCCTTTTTCTAGCTTCTGACTGATATGTGTCCTTAGTATGAAGAACATACCCCATCTCATTTTAACACAGAAAGCTAGCAAGTCTGGAAAGAGCAACATGCAAACAAAGTCACTTCCCTGTTTTGAGCATGCTTTACAAATCTTATGTTTGACTATATAATTACAAAACTATTTGTATACAAGGCCACTGTTCACCCACGTTATCTTTCTTTCCTAATGGATATCTCCAACCATCCCATGTGTGAAGCTAATTCTAATACAAACTGACCAAAGATTAAATGAATGAAAGAACAGAGCAGATCTGCACCAACTAATAGGCGCTACATGAACCCAAAATCTTCCCAAAACTGCCAAAGTAAGCAAGAAGAATAGGTCCAAAAGATTTCATTAAAAAGATGTCACCATCTGTGCTGGCTGATCACAAAGAGCATCTGGAAGGATCTGACCTTCAGATAGCTGTACGCACCAGTTGTTACAGAGTTCAAATTTTGAACTATGATTTTGTATTATGCCCCCATTTTCCAGGAATTCCAACTAAAAGCAACAATTACCACCATGTTTCGACTGACACGGTTGCTTCTGTTTCAATATGTGTCTCTTTGCAAATACAGATCCCTTCTCCATTAGACTAGGTACCTCCAATATCTGTAGAAATCAATGATGAGTTAGAACTCATTGAACAGTATCGAGTCAAAAACTACAGCTGAATATTTTTAGCTTAACAAAAAGATAAAACTTCTGAAACTGAATACTTTGTTATAAAAGAGATATAGCTTAAGAGGCATAAACAGCATTATTGAGGATAGTCACGCGAATGTAGTTCCATATAATACTATTTGTGCTAGCAGTAATTTTGAAATGATTTCAATACAGCAGGCTCAAGCTCCTTTATCAAAGAAAACAAAGTCCATCAAAGAAATTGCAAGAGGAATGTTCTCCCGGAAATCACATTACGAACAACAGGTGGCAGGTGCTACTCTGAAAACAAATACCTAAGTTATATTAGTTTGTTACTAGTTACTTATTTTTTCTTCTTTTGGTGGCTGTAGTGTTTCTAAGGACAACTGTTAATTGTACACCACCTTTTCACTCAGTTTTGACATGATTGATGGAACAGTTCTATCGAAAAACTACTATAACATGTGCAAATTCACCTGCCAGTTAGGTAGACAAATGCCTGAACAGCATACCTTTAAGATGAGCTCTTTGAAACACTGCTGCACATTTTCTCGAGTCTTGGCACTACATTCAAGAAAAAAGCATTTATGCTCCTGTGCAAGAGCCATCCCCTCTTCTACAGTTACAGCTCTCTCACTGTCCTGCAAATTGAAATGGTGTACTCAACTCTCCTACAAGGGGATAGGAAAAACAAGCATTCACGATGTAAACAGATGCTATTGAACGGGTTCGAATCTATGGCTACTTACCAGTGAGTGGTATTATTGGACTGATTTTTTGGTGGGAAATGTTCATTTTAGATATATGCTGAGGCCATTAACATATTTATACGTACGTAAATGCGGGTGAGCCTGATGGTTATTAAGTACAACTACTATACAAAGGGATAAGCAGTACAACTTACCTTATCAACTTTATTCCCAACTAGTATCTTGACACTCTCATGATTTGTGGAGTAGAGCTCTACTTCCTTAGCCCATATTTCTGACAAGTTTGTAAAGGTTTCTCGTCGCGTTACATCATAAACTAATGTAAGAAGTAAATAACAATGTCGTTACTTCAACGTTGCCAGTGAACAACCACAAGAATGAAACAGCACAAGCAGATCAAATACCAATTTAGGGTAACAGGTTATATTTCTTTTAGGAAATAGGGCTTCTTTTTTGAGCATTTGAAGAAAAGATGGGACAAAAGATCTAGCTTAGTGCAGCAATAATATGCAAGAATTAACTGCATTCATCATGACCAAAGCATAAACTCATTCTGTACAACATTCACATCATGAAGTAAAAGATGTAGCACATCATTAACTGGTAAAAATTTCATAATTAGCAATATGGAAGAAAAAAATAAACCAAAATCAACCTGAAACCACTTTTTGCATAGCATACATGTGAAGTAGAAGATTTGATTGCTATTTCGACATTGCAGTCCACACAGAAGACAAGATTTATAAATGATCCAGTGTGCCAAACAAAATGCGGGACACTGAACAAGTAAAAGCATAGCACAATACTATGTACTTCAGATATAATTCAAGAAAAACTCAGTTTATCTTCTAGAACAGCAATATTTGTTTGAGTTTTTGATGCATAGCATACTGCAAACTCACTGCAACATTTGTTTTGACTTTTTGATGCATAGGAGACAACATACTGCAACCTTATTGTCTGCCTTAAACTAGTTTGTGGTCGGATATAAAGTTTTCATTATCCCTTGTGGTTGTGTGGGACAAAAATGAGGATTTTTCAGAGTTACAGAATAAGGTTTTTTGATAGCATACCAAGAATAATTCCATGTGCTCCTCTGTAGTACGAGCTTGTTAATGTACCAAATCTCTCCTGTCCAGCTGTGATACAAAACATATTAGCGAAATCATTTCATTATTTCTTAACGAAAGAAGATCCATCATCAATAAATTCGAAGCATACATGTTAACAATATGTACCATAGAGAGATAAAGACTGGAGACCACAACTTCAGTCCACAATTTAAGGCCTCACCGTCAGTCTTACGTGTCCAGCCATACTTCTTGACTTTAATTACAGTACTTAAGTTGTCATTATTAGATCAAGAACAAAGATTGTTGGTAGCTGCATGAAAACTCGTCTTTGAAATTAGAGCTTATTTGAGGAGGTTTACACATTTTTCACATTTGGAAGGGCTTGGGACATGCATACTCAATTTCATGACTGTATTTCCCTTGGTGTGGTTACACAAAGGTCTGTTTTATAAGCTTTCTTTACATTAACTACAATGCTAAAAACATTAACATCGAAGATATTGAATTTCAAAGAAGGAACCAAAAATAATCCACATATAAACAGCCCTACAGAGTTATAACTATGGTTTAATTAAACTTCACAAGTTCGTGAAATATGGAGTTGTTTAGCTCTTAGCTTCATTTTCCCTCACTTAAACAAAACATGTTTTGGAAATAGATAATGTGAGGGTAGTTCCATAGACAGTCAAAAATGGCTAATTGTATATACAGGTTACTTATAAATTCACTAGTCATAACCCGTGCTTGAAGGCACGATAGAATATAAAATTTGAGTCCCAAAAAATCGATATCATATATTAAATGATAGGAAGCACGGATATGAATACAGATACGGACACGGGGATACAACAAAGTCAAAAAATATGGGACATAATATAATATATTTTTTAAATAATAATAGATTTGTAATATATTAAAAATAAAGCATATATTATAACAATATTAATAATAAGACCTAACAAATATTATTTTTTTTATTCAAATTGAAATAGATCAAATTAAATATCCACCATTTTCATCAAACATCATTACATCTATTAACATTCATAGTATATAAGTTACACAACAAAAAATATATTCAAAAAAGTAAAAATTATACTCTTTTAATAGTTAAAAATTATTTGTTTTAAATAAAAAAATTATTGGCCGTATCCTAGACATATCCTGACCGTGTTCTAAACGGATCTTTGTCGTCTCCTAGACGTATCATGACCGTGTCCGACTGAGTTCGTTATTCAGGACACTTCTAGCCATGTCGGACACGTGTCCGGCCGTGTCCTGACCGTGTCTGTGTCGGATACATGTCCGACACTGCCACGGCACCCCTGTGGGAAGTATCTGTGCCTCTTAGATAATAATTTTTTTTTCCTTCATTTCTTTAATTACATCATTTAAAAGTTATTTTTACCCATTATTTCTTAAAAATATTGACAAAATTTTCTTAAAATACATAATTCGATAAAATTTTCTCAATATATGTGAAAAAAAAAGTATGTTAAACTACAAATTAATCAAATATTAAATGATTGAATATGTAATAGAAATTGGTGATGTGATGGTTTTGAAGAGAAAAATGTACAGGGGATAAATTTCAACGTCCTATGTGTTTTATTATATAGATTTCTTTCAAAATCAAGTTTCCATTCTTAAGCACCAATGTTCTTGTATGATACAAAGAGAGCTCATGAGTGTAGGGCTTCATTTTTCGTTGTATGTTCAACATTTTATCTATAATAGTATAATGTAAGTAATAAGTATACTAGAATTAGAAACTACAAATTTTCAATTGCAACTAAAAAATCGGAACTTCAAAAAGACTCACCTAAGTTAATTAGTAAGGTTCTTAGCTTCATCATCTAGCTAGTCAGGCTTACCAATTTATAGGGCAGAGATATTTACATCTTTATAAAGATTCGAGATTTTGACCTGTTACGTGACTATAAATCACCTTGAGAGTTGAGCTAGATAGATAGCAAATCTCTACAACCCCAATGAAAATTTACTTTGAAATACCAATTAGCATGAAAATACACATTAACACAGTGCTTGTCGTAACTAGTCATTTTGCTAATATAGGCAAGGCAAAAAGGAGCCAGAAAATCAAACATGATTACTAGTAGTAAAAAATTGGATATCATCCTAGATTCAGTCAGACAGACTTTGTCCATCTTAAATAGACTACATGTGTGGGTGGAACAAACTCTTTGAGAACTGTTCCATGTGTCCTTTGGAATTGTTTTGAATTTTGTTGTATATGCTTATTAATGGGATTAATAAATGATTCACCTTCCAAAAGACTACTCGAGGCTGAAAGATTAGTAAATCCACAAAAATGACCACGAAAACAGTAAACAAAATGTGTATCTTGAATTACAATTCCATCAGAACCAAATCCCCACCCAACCGGCAAGCAAAAAACTCTGCAGAACATCTAGTCATCTAGTTCACTTACCTGTATCCCAAATAGTGAGTTTTAATCTTTTCCCCCCAATTGTGAGCTGTTTTATCTTGAAATCCACACCTGGAGCAGTCAAAACAATAGCCAAAGCTAAATATGAATTAAGGTGAAGATGATCCAGATAAAAAGTAGACTAAGGTGAACATCATTAGTTCAAAAACTAAGGTAAATAAAATAGTAACTTACCTGTTTGGCCCTAAATAATACAACAAATTCCAATTCAGTCCTTCAACCATATTTTGTCCCAATTTAACCCTCCAACTTTAAGTTGACTCAATATGGACCTTTCATTAGATTTTCTGATAGAAAGGACATGTGTTCCTCACATGATTGCTCTAACAAGGATGTTTTAGACAAGTTATAGGATATCTCAACTTCCTACACCCAAACTTAATACCTCCAACAACCGACCCAACTCGGTTCACCCCCAAAACCTCACCTCCACTGCCAACTACCATGATTACTATTCTGCGGTAAAATGACATAGTATGAAAAAACCAAGAATACAAGCGAAACTCTGAAGACTAATCATAAATTTGAAGTTCAACATATAGCATTAACACTTCCNAAACTAATGTAAGAAGTAAATAACAAAGTCGTTACTTCAACGTTGCCAGTGAACAACCACAAGAATGAAACAGCACAAGCAAATCAAATACCAATTTAGGGTAACAGGTTATATTTCTTTTAGGAAATAAGGCTTCTTTTTTGAGCATTTGAAGAAAAGATGGGACAAAAGATCTAGCTTAGTGCAGCAATAATATGCAAGAATTAACTGCATTCATCATGACCAAAGCATAAACTCATTCTGTACAACATTCACATCATGAAGTAAAAGATGTAGCACATCATTAACTGGTAAAAATTTCATAATTAGCAATATGGAAGAAAAAAATAAACCAAAATCAACCTGAAACCACTTTTTGCATAGCATACATGTGAAGTAGAAGATTTGATTGCTATTTCGACATTGCAGTCCACACAGAAGACAAGATTTATAAATGATCCAGTGTGCCAAACAAAATGCGGGACACTGAACAAGTAAAAGCATAGCACAATACTATGTACTTCAGATATAATTCAAGAAAAACTCAGTTTATCTTCTAGAACAGCAATATTTGTTTGAGTTTTTGATGCACAGCATACTGCAAACTCACTGCAACATTTGTTTTGACTTTTTGATGCATAGGAGACAACATACTGCAACCTTATTGTCTGCCTTAAACTAGTTTGTGGTCGGATATAAAGTTTTCATTATCCCTTGTGGTTGTGTGGGACAAAAATGAGGATTTTTCAGAGTTACAGAATAAGTTTTTTTGATAGCATACCAAGAATAATTCCATGTGCTCCTCTGTAGTACGAGCTTGTTAATGTACCAAATCTCTCCTGTCCAGCTGTGATACAAAACATATTAGCGAAATCATTTCATTATTTCTTAACGAAAGAAGATCCATCATCAATAAATTCGAAGCATACATGTTAACAATATGTACCATAGAGAGATAAAGACTGGAGACCACAACTTCAGTCCACAATTTAAGGCCTCACTGTCAGTCTTACGTGTCCAACCATACTTCTTGACTTTAATTACAGTACTTAAGTTGTCATTATTAGATCAAGAACAAAGATTGTTGGTAGCTGCATGAAAACTCGTCTTTGAAATTAGAGCTTATTTGAGGAGGTTTACACATTTTTCACATTTGGAAGGGCTTGGGAAATGCATACTCAATTTCATGACTGTATTTCCCTTGGTGTGGTNATGTCAATAGAAGCAACCAATAGTAATCAACAATAAACTTGGGAAGTTCCCCAATTTCTTTTTGTGGTAGTATCAAGTCCAGAGTAGAAATCAAAACATCAAATAACCCATAAGAACTCCAAAAGTAGTAAAGCACATGTTATCTTTACATCTTCAATATTCACTATAAATGACGTTAAACTAAAATCTGACAATCTAAATAAGGATCATAGTCCTTTATCGTTGTCTTTGATGAAAATTATACAAGGATAAAGAATCAATCATGAAATGCACCAACAAGGGAAGATCAATCATACAAACAGGATGATCAGGTTCACTTATCACATCGCAAATCCACAAACAAGAGGACTACATGCCTTGCTATTCTGATTAAAACCCACAAAAATATCTCTAAACATGATCACAGCTACAATAGAATTAATTAATCAAAAGTATGTACCAATGGTGGGGGAAATATCCTGAAGAGAATCCTGACAGTTGGAGGTGAAACTAAGAAGAAGACTGCTTTTTCCAACACCTGAATCACCTATCAACAATATCTTGAACGAGTAATCATAATTACCATTACCCATCACTGATCATTCACATACATATGTGTGTCAAAATGGTCTTTATGATCTTCTGTCTCTAGCTCCGTCGGGAACGAGGAANAAACCAAGAATACAAGCGAAACTCTGAAGACTAATCATAAATTTGAAGTTCAACATATAGCATTAACACTTCCAATCCCCCATAAATCTAGTATTCAGCATATGACAAGCTAGACTTCGAGTGGCTAGCAGATCAATAACTGCACCTCCTAGTTTACATGTACTGATTTGACTGCTTATGCGTCAAAGCAGTGAAAAATACACTTCAAAGTTTCCACATAAAGTTGATTTCAAATGCTTGCTTGGCTAACAAAAAATGCAATTCATGTGATAAATGTGTTAGTCCCAGATGGGTGGAACAATACCGACGGCGATTCGTTGTTAGACTGGTAATTACATGCAATCCGGGAGAGAAATTGAAGTAATGCCACAACCGAGAAAAATTGATATAGCGTGATTAGGGTGAGTAAGTATTTGATACTACCCATCCACTAGTATTTACAGACATGAGGCACCCATTCAGATGAATGGACACAACCTTTAGAAATGTCATGATTGTTAACACAATCACAACTTTTTCAAGAGTTGTGTTGGTTCAAATTCAAATCACCACTCTCTCTCTCTCTCTCTCTCTCTCAATCCATGGGTCAACAAAATGAGAGAGATAAAATGTCAATAGAAGCAACCAATAGTAATCAACAATAAACTTGGGAAGTTCCCCAATTTCTTTTTGTGGTAGTATCAAGTCCAGAGTAGAAATCAAAACATCAAATAACCCATAAGAACTCCAAAAGTAGTAAAGCACATGTTATCTTTACATCTTCAATATTCACTATAAATGACGTTAAACTAAAATCTGACAATCTAAATAAGGATCATAGTCCTTTATCGTTGTCTTTGATGAAAATTATACAAGGATAAAGAATCAATCATGAAATGCACCAACAAGGGAAGATCAATCATACAAACAGGATGATCAGGTTCACTTATCACATCGCAAATCCACAAACAAGAGGACTACATGCCTTGCTATTCTGATTAAAACCCACAAAAATATCTCTAAACATGATCACAGCTACAATAGAATTAATTAATCAAAAGTATGTACCAATGGTGGGGGAAATATCCTGAAGAGAATCCTGACAGTTGGAGGTGAAACTAAGAAGAAGACTGCTTTTTCCAACACCTGAATCACCTATCAACAATATCTTGAACGAGTAATCATAATTACCATTACCCATCACTGATCATTCACATACATATGTGTGTCAAAATGGTCTTTATGATCTTCTGTCTCTAGCTCCGTCGGGAACGAGGAAGAACAAACAAATGGAAAATCAAGCTGATGATGAACCCATCATCTATCATTCACATACGCATGTGTGAAACAACCCCTCTGATCTTTTGTCTCTAGCTCCGTCAGGAACGAGAGAGAATAAGAAAGAAAAAACAAAGGGAGAAAATCAAACTGGGCGTGGGAGAGCCGAGGGTTTTAGAGAAGAAAAAACAAATGGAAAATCAAGCTGATGATGATCCCATCATACATAGATCATTCACACACGTACATACGTGTGAAAACAGTCTCACTGCTCTTCCGTCACTAGCTCCGTCAGGAACATAGAAGATGAAGAAGAAGATGAAGAAGACGAGAGAGAGAGAGAGAGAGAGAGAGAGAGAGAACAAAGGAGAAATCGAGTTGGGTGTGGAGTTGGCGGGTTTGAGAGAGAGAAGAAAATACAAAAATTGAAATTCAAAGGGCCGTCCGGACAATCGTCTGTTTTTCGTGGAGACGGCTGTGATCTGTTCCACACGCGCCTGCATGAGGATTCAAAGGTGGGTCCCACTTGATATTGATAGCTTTGTCAACGAGCCTTTATTTTTTTCCTTTTTTGAGAATAAATTTGGCTTTGTTAGTTTGTCACGTTGCGAGTAAATTGGCTTCTTCACGCCAACGGCCTTTTGATCGGGATTTTTTTATTTTTTTTTCCTCATCAAAGAATTGCCAAAATTGAATTTAAGTTTTAGCTTGAATAAAAGTCCAAGTTAAAGTCAAAAATTCAAGAAAAAAAGATTAACAAGTCGAACATAAAAAAATAGGGTTAATTACATTAGAGATTTTTAAAATTTAGATTAATTATATTTGACGTTTTTAATATTTAGATTAATTATATTGAAAGTTCTCAAAATATGGGAGTTGTCTTATTTTGATTTCTAATATTTAATTGTATCATTTTGGTTCATGAAGTATTGAATTTGTTTTTACGTGGAGACAACATTCAAATTGTTAACAATTTTTTATTATAAACTTGTTATGTAATAGTTAAATATGGGTAAAAAAATAATTTAGATAATTCGACCAAATTTTGACCTAAAGAGTTACTAGAATTACACATTTTTTATTTTAAGTTATCCAAATCTTGGTCAAAAGATATCTATATTATACATTTTTTATCAAAATTTATCCAAATTTTTTATCTATATTTAAATATCACATGATAATTGTATGATAAAAAATTGTTAACAATTTGGATACTGTCTAATTGAGGAACCACATATAAAAAAATTCAATACTTTAAGGGTCAAAATGATGCAATTGAAATATTGGACCAAAATGAGACAAACTTCATACTTTAAAGACCTCTAGTGCAATTAACCCTTAATATTTTAATTGTACGATTTTAATTCTTGAAATATTGAATATATTTTTATGTCGTCTCTCAAACAGACAGCGTTTAGATTGCTAATAATTTTTTATTATAAATTTATCATATAATACTTAAAAATGGGCAAAAAAATAGTTTGGATAACTCTTGACCAAATTGTGGTCAAAGAATTATCCAAATTTTCCATTTTTTTTTATCATAAACTACCCAAATTTTAGTCAAGTGTTACTCATATTACACATTTTTTATCGAGACCTATCCAAATTATTATTTTTTTCATATTTAGGTATCATGTGATAAGTTTATAATCAAAAACTGTTAGCAACTTAAATGTTGTCTGTAGGGGTGTCCATGGGTCGGATTGTCCACAGGTCCCATTTTTTGGCATGAAAAAATAAGCATGAAACCTGATAGGTCCAATTGTTGACCCGTCCAAGCTTGAGCTCAATATCCTTTAAGAGAGTGCTTGGATCTACTCCAAACCCATTATCCGGCCCGAAACCCAACTCAATAACCCACCAACAAAAAATTCATTAAAACCCGACCCAAGAACCCGCCCGAACAGTCTGCCTATTTTCATTTGAAAAAAAGTTAGACATATTAAATTTGAAAAAGATAAATAGATGGGTAGATGTCAGCCTAATTGGGACGTGCTCATTCTATTGTAATACAGTTCCTCTCCTATTTATAAATAAAAATTATTTTGACTCTACTTTTACTTCAAAAATGTAATTTACAAAAATATTAAATTAAAATACTGTTCATTATTTCTAAATAAAGTTGTACATAAAAAAATCGTCTAGTAGGTCCGCCCGCAGGCCCACCCAACAGGCCTATAGGCCCGCGACATAGGTCTAGCCGAAAGTTATTTAGGGATTGAAGTATTCTTTATAATGCAGTAAGAATCAGCTCAATCAGAGATTAAGGGTAAAAAATTATGTCAGAAAATACTAAAGTAGTGAAAAATTAATTTTCCTTCTACATGCGGATAACTTATTACACCAAATTTGCATCACAATTTTAACCTTGTTAAAAGAAGGTACATTAGTATTTAATTAAAAAGAATGTATATATACGTCATTACAGGTACACAAATACATAAAACCAAATATAATTTAAGATTACGTAAATCATAACGAACATGTGGCTCACCTACCAACGAATACGTGAAACACAATTGTTGCGATCTAATTTGTGTACCTATCAAATCAACGTTTAAGATAAATGATCAGTATATTCCAAATTACTTGGTTCACGACAAAACTAAAAGACAACCCCACAAAATCCTTAATAAAAAATGCAAAAAACAAAAAAACTAATTATATTTTAGGCTGAAATCATATGATGGAGGCGAAATGGGTGATAAAAACACACTAACTCCCCAACCCCTATACGTTCACATCCACATAGGAATCGCATGCAATTTTTTTAAAATCACAAAGGACATTTTTATATATTAAAAATTTAACAGAACTAAAATCAGTTTACACACCAAAAGAAGAACTTTAGCCTAATTAACTATAGATAAATTTACCCTCTGATGAAGTCTAGACAAATAGAGGGTTGGCCTAGTTGTTTTGCCTCGTCGGCCAGAATAGACTAAATTTTGTGTCATTTGTCTATTTAAGAAGGGAAAACGAAAGCCGGTAATATAAATTTAGACTTATTTGAGATAAAATACATTAAAGAAATGTATTTGACCTTAGATACATTTTTTGTGGAAAAAAACCAAATGGTCATTCAACACAATCTTCTACTTCTAAAATGGGTTATGAATTTCAAAATCAACATCCATTATTCCACTATAACTAAAAAATTGGGATTTACCTCCCATTGAAGAAGAACAAATCCCAAATCGTTCCAAAACCAACGAAATCATGGGTTTTGGAGGAGAAAACTGAAGCACAATGGTTAACGATTTGGATTGACTATAGGCCCTATCACCAATAAACGCCAACGATTTTGGGTTCTATTACTATAGTCGTCTCCAAATTATTATTGTCTTCATCATCATCCCTACTGTCTGCATCGTCTACTGAGTTTCATACTTGACGATTAACGATAAGATTTCATTTTTTTTTTTAAAAAAAAATCTACTTGATAAAATCCAAAATTATAACTTAAAAGCTCTAATTTGTAATAGTATCACAAAATCGTCGTCAATGGTGAAGCAGTTTGTAACTTAAAATCCCTAATTTGTTAGAGTTTTTTTTTTTTAAGGAAAGAGTAATTTTATTGATTAACCAAAAGGATTTACAAGAAGCAAATAAGATAAGTCACAATCGACTTTAATCCTTCAAGACAAACAAAACCATCTATATATTGTAAATTAGAAAAAATTACAATTCCTCAAATTCCAAGTATACCAGCAGGATTGGCAGCGCCTCACATCTTCCCAAAACTGCACAAGGCTGCCCCTTATTCCTCTTAACCCCATCATCAAACAGCAACACAATCTTGGAACATAGGACAGGTAAGCATCTTTGATCCTGCAACACTTTCAAATTTATAGCATTTGGTAATTGATTGTTCGAACCAAACCCAGAGGACACACCATCCTGTACTACCTTGTTAGCAAGACCATCAGCCACAAAGTTTACCTCCCTATAAACATGTCTCAACTGGAAATTTAATCCAGTAAGAAGCTGCTTAATTTGGTCCAAATATTCCAGATACGGCCAGGCACACCTCATCACCCCTTTGATGGTATTAACAACCACCAAAGAATCTGATTCAATCCATAACATATAATCCGATAAACCAGAGTGCATAATCAGTTTAAAACCAACGAGCATAGCTCTGAACTCCGCTGCCATATTAGAACAAATATCATATAATCCTAATTTGTTAGAGTTGACGGTGAAACTATTTGGTATATATCATTGTTGTAGCTTTTTGATGTCACTGGATGGTGTGACTATCAGGTGTAATAGTTTGGCTTAATACTGTTTTATATGTATAGGTTGTTGATTTATTGTTTGGTGTCCCTTTATGATGTACATCTTTGGTGTGTTTTTTTTGTTCACCCATTTTGGTGTATATAATTGGTGTAATAATGTGGTGATACTGAACGGTTTAACTCTTTGGTTTATATAAACAATTGAATGATGCATTGGCTATGGTGTTGTCATTTTCGTGTCTTTATGTGCTGTAACTGTTTAGTCTATCAGAACACATGTGTAACTCTATGGTGCATCATAGCACAAGTGTAATTGTTTAGTGTAGCGTTGATATTCGATTATGTCAAAGTAATTGTTCTGTGTAACATTAATATCCGATTATATCAAATTTTTACATATTTGAGAAAAAAAAAAATTATCAATCATTTTATGATCACTTCGGTGTATCTCTTTGGAGTGTCAATACAACGACGTTTAAGAATGTCAACTTCGGATTGAGAGAGAAAGAGAATAGGGGAGAGTGAGTGAGAGAGTAATGGATAGGGAGAAAGAGAATAACAGTGAGAGAATATATATATATATGTATAGAGAGAGAGAGAGAGAGAAAGAGAGAGAATAAGAATAAATGTTTAAAATTCAAATGAAAGATAAAATTTAATTAAATTTTTACATATTTGA